AACAACCCAGAACTTAATGACCTAGTGAGGGCAACTGGAACAGGCAAAAAGACAGAGACGGACATACCTGGACATGGATCACCGGCTGGTGGTTTTGGTCCTGCTGCTTCTCTGGGGCTCAGGTAGGACAGAACAACGTTAGGGTCAAAATGAAAAAAACAATCAATTCAATTAGGATTTGTTAATTTATAAAGAAAATCATGTTTTGAAACTATTATTTTTCTTTGCAGAGTTTTTTTTATTATTATTGTCTAAAATATTTTATATCTGCTTACTTGATTGGAGCTGTTTTGCTAAAAGATCAATTTATATTTTGCTGATCTTAGACAACAGAAATGACCTGATGACATCAAGGCACTGAGTTGTTGAAGTGTCTCAATGACAATTAGCTAAAACTCATTCCAGACATTACTAAGAAACAATGCTTGAACTGAAAAGTGTCATGAGTTGTGGTTGAGAGGTGGTGAGGAGAGACGCAGGGACCCAGCTTGAGATGAAATAATTAATTTAACGAAGAGAGCAGCTCAAAACAGTCCAGGACACAGGCAACACGGCAGAGCGGAAACAGAGGCTCAGCACCGGTAGCAACTGAATTAACAGACTGACACGACAAACTAATGCCAACACAGGACTTCACAGTTCTATTGTGCCGGCAGACGAACTATCATAGACAAAGACCCAACAAGAGACAGAGACAACAGGAGGACTTAAATACACAGGGAGGGTAATCAAGGGAACGAAACACACCTGGGAACAATCAATGGGGAAGACGCAGAGACGGACTCACAGGAAGGAACTGAACACAGAAAACCCTTACAATAAGTGCACAGAAACACAGATCATGACAAATAGTTGTATTTAATCCAGCTCAGTTTGATTTAAAAAAAAAAAAAAAAAGGAGATTTAGAGATTGAAAAAAATGCAGTCACAAAACTGAATGCTCTTACACCGAGTTTTATGTATTTGAATTTTGGAACAGTCCTGCTGATATCATATTGTGTTGTATTTTTTCTTTATTGGTTATGTTTTCCCAGACTATTGTCTTTTGTTTTCTTGTTAATGACTTTGGATGTAATCTTTATAATACTGTTTCAGACTGTTTACATTAGGCAGAGTTTTATCCAGAGGTTTTATAATCAGCAGTGTAGCTGTGGTTTTGCTTTTTGTGTAAAGTGATAAAGACACTGCAAAGTGAATGATGAGAGTGGGGCTAAAAAAATATTTGAAACTTAAAGAAACATTTTTTGAAACTGAAAAAAAAAACTTGCTCTGAAAAGTGTTGAACTATTTTTTTTCTTAGTTTCACATCGTTTTAAGTTAGCGTTTCCATAAAAAGAGAGAAAAAATTCAGTTCCATTTTTTTTTTTTTTTCAACAAACGATATGGCCCCAACTTAGCTCTGCAGGTTGGATCAGGTCATATATAAAGTGATTAAAAACAGTCTCTTTGAATGATGTCAAATCAGGTAAAACAACATTGAAGCT